AGTAGTTGTAACAATAACAAAGATGTTGTCAGTCAGGATACACCCAGGAAAAAAGAAATCACCAAGACCTGAATTTAAAACCCATCTTTCCCACTTATTACTCATATCTCCGTCTGGGGTTTGGTTTTCTCTTAACAATAAAATCACAAGGTCACTGTTAGGATTCAATAACTGTATGCAGAGTGCCTTTTGCACTCAATAAACATTCTTTTCCCCCCTTCTCAAGCATATTTACATATTTCAAAGTCATCTGGAAAGGCAAGGATTAAAACCAAGAAATGCTGCTTTAATGGTGTAATTTCAGCCAGTGGGTGGCATAGATATTTTTGGATTTCAGCTCCTCCATGTGTTCCTGACATTATAATGTGGAGGTGACGTCCAACTCTGCCTACATATAATGGCATCCGGGTTTTGCCACTATGATTTCAGTATGATGAGCATTCTTGGTCCTTGGCCTAGACCGGTAATTGATCCTGTTCGAAGACTTGATGGGAAAGAGATTCTTTGATTAACTTCTGTTCAATTCTATTAAATATTTCTTGAATCTCTCCCTTCCTCCCCAGCCCCATCAGCACTGTCACGGTTCAGGAGCTCATCATCTGCTGCCTGCATCACTGCGTCAGCCTGCTGGCGGGTCTCCCTGCTGCTGGGCTCTTCCTCTTCTCTCCACCCTTCATGCAGCAGGCAGAGTGATCTTTCAGAAACATGCATACGATCCTGTCAGCCCTTTGCTTAAAAGCCTTCAGAGGCAATGTGCTTCCTAACCACAGTGGTGCCAGCCTCTGGTGCCATGACACACTTGTTTGTCACATCAATTCTAAGGCAGGTTCATCCTTTCATCCATCCATTCAACAGATATTTATTGAGCATATACTCTGTGTCAGTTGTTGTTGTAGGTGTTTGGGGTATATCAGGAAACGAAACAGACAGAAATCTCTGCATGTTGCGAACTTATTACTAACAAGAGTTAAAGCCCTAAAGATTGTGAATAATTTGTTTGACTATTATGGTGGATGCATTTTATTTCTATAATAAAATTACCCTAAATCACTTGCATGGTGAGGTGCTTCCTGATGGAGAATGGGTGGGGGATTTATAACCGGTAGTAGGGGAATTGTGTGTAAATTTGTGTATGCCTTCAGCAGTGTACATATAACAATATCATCATTTGTCTGAAGAAAAAAATGTTAAATATTGCCACTTGTCTACAAAATATGGTACAGACTCTTTAGCTTTCATTGCTTGGCATCTGCTTACTCCATAAGCCTCATTCTCTGCCACTCCCTGCCTTGCACTATATACTTGCTGGTCCTTACCCCTCAAAGGTGCTGCATATCCGTTTTACTTCCCATCAGGGGAAAGGCTTGGGTAAGAGATAACTGAAATATATATATATTATTTTCTTCCAAGACCAGCTGTCCTATCCTTGTAGGAGAAGGGACTGAGCTCATATTGTAAACTGAAAATAAGAAGTGAAAGAAGAATTTGAGAGGACCCATCACATATAATAGGCTACATCTACAGCATTTTAGAAAAATACATTTCTTGGCATTTGATGAAAATAGACTCAGTCACATGATAAATATGAAAATATATAACGGTATTGGTGGGTTGGTATTCGACTACAATTGTATGACAAACACATTGGAGGATGGAATAGTTTTGGAAGATATAAAAGAAGTAAAACTTTATATGGGAATTAGTCTCTTTTTGTCCCTGGATGAGAGGGAAATGGACAAAAATGAACTGGAGGAAAAGACCTTTACTGTCTATAAGACACAGGAAACCCCTGACAAGATGACGGAGGAACCCAAGTCCAATAGATTCCTGCAAACAATCAGAATTGCTCCTACATCACAAAGCTGGGTTCACAAATTGAACTTCCAGCTGACTCCTTGTTTACAGCCTTAACTCTGAGCCACATGCCCAAGTCATCATATGCTCAGAATACGTATCGACTCCCAATTCTTTCAACTCTGATTCGTTGAGATTTGCCTTCCCATTTGTGATACCAGAAGTGATGTTGACACAACTGTAGCAGCTTGAAGAGGGAGAAAGTAAGGTACAATAGAAGCTGCTCTTGCCTAGGTTATTACAGGAAAGTATGAAAGGGAAAAACTAAGTTAGCACAGGTATGGCTTGTTGAAGATCTGGCCTGGAGTCAACAGATTGTGTTTGGATGGAGCTTTCCCTATGTTGTTTTTTCCCCAGACATTAAATATGGCTGGTGGTTGTTCATTAGGGCATGACCCTACCAGAGGTGTGGGAGAACTGAGTGACATCACAGGCACCCCCAGGATGTACTTAAGTGTCTTGAAGCAGGAAGCAGAAGGGCCTCAAAGCCATGAGTCACTCAGGAGGGCATAAAGAGGAAGAGAATAGCAAGTAGGTCAAGGAGTCGAAAGCCTGTGATGCTTCTGGGGTAACTTTGGGGCATTAACAGATTCTCAGGGACAGGACATGTGAGAGAGCCGTGTCCTCCACCCTGTCTGCACTCATAAGCCGGGCTCAGCAATTCTCTTTCCAAATGAGCCACTGCAAATTATCCTGGTCCTTACAGCCAAGGCTTTGGTGCCTGGCCTCTCTCCAAGAGTGGATGAACTGCGGCCAGGGCTATTCTGGGGTGACCCTCACTTTGTAATTAACCCTCCTCATTAGCAGCTCACTTGCTTCCGATGGGCAGTGCGCACATGTTTGTGGTTATGTAACTGCTGAGCAGGGCTGGGCAGCCGTTTGTTGGCATCTTAATTGTCTGCAATCACAGGGAAATGAATTGTGGGGAGGAAAGTAATGAGAAGAGGAGCGCCCTGGCAGCCGGCCAAGGGCTCCCACCAGCCGCACAGCTCAGGAATCTGCCACCAAAGCAAGACATTGGAGGTGGACTTGGGCTGGGGAATCCAGGAGGCGGATGCCAAGCTGCTCCAGGAAGGCTGCTGGTGTCCGGGGAGGGGGTCGGGGACAGGGAAAGGGGGCACTGGAGTGCGGGGTGGCGAAGAGGAGAGATTGACCACTTTCCCTTCTTTGTGACCACACAGTCTCCCTCTTCTCATCCTCTCTTCTGATTCCCAACTGCCTCCAACACCACCTCAGCAGATGCATTAGTCAGGGTTCTGCAGAGAAACATTTATATATTTATATAAACATATATATTAAATAAGTATATATATAGAAAGAGAGATAGAGAGAGACAGAGACAGAGAGAGAGAGAGAGAAAGAGAGTGACAGAGCAAGAGACATATTATGAGGTGTTGGTTGGAAAGGCCCACACTCTGCCATCTGCAAGCCGGAGGCCCAGGAAAGCTGGCGGTGTATTCGGAAGGCCCGAGAGCCAGGAACACTGAATAGTGATGTCCCAGCTCAAGCAGTCAGGCAGGGAGCAATTTCCCCTTTCTCTACCTTTCTGTGCTGTCCAGGTTGATTGGAAGAGGCCTGTCCACACTGGGGAACATCATCGGCTTTACTCGGTTCACCAATTCAAATGCTGATCTCTTCCAGAAACCCCTTCACAGAAACATCCAGAAATAATATGAACTAGCTATCTGGGCATCCTTTAGCCCAGTTCAGTTGACACAAAAAAATTACCCATTGCAGCAGTGACCTTGAGAGCCCAGGGAGTGAAGAGAGGGCAGGGAAGGAAACCCAGAGGAAGGGAGTTGATAAAAGGTGTCTGTGTGAATTTAAATAATAATAATAATCATCATCATAATAATAATAATAAAGATTGCAATAGCTTCTATTCTCCATCCCACTTCGAGTTTGGCATTGCCACTGCCGGTGTGGCGGGAGAGCTGCCGTGGGTGCCAGCCCCGCTGCTGTGGGTGCAGTCGCTGCTTCTACTGCGGCAGGGGAGTTATCTCGACGATGGGGGTTCCAATGACTAGTGACAACGGACATCAGAACCCCAGAGCTTTAAGTCTAGATTACCTTCTATCAGTGAAATTAGAGAGAATAAAAATGTCATAGATGAGATTAGCTCTCTATAGAAATGTCCCAAGAGTTAATAAAATGGGCAGTTCGTAAAAGGCAGTCAGTAAAAAGCAGTTTAGTAGTACCAAGTCCATCAGGGCTCAGCCAGGCTGGAGAATCACACATATTCACGTGCATTTACTTGGCTGCAGCCGAAACCGAACCCTGGGGTCTGTGCCTGAAGGACATTTGCTAATAGAGGGGGCTGGTCTGCAATGAGCTTGCAGGGGGGATTCCTATTGCCAGATTTGTCAGTGAGCACCCAACACTGTCAGGGACGAGGGCCTGAAAATCAGGCAGTGTGTTTTTGACCCTGAGAAATACACCTGTCGTAGGCTAGGATGTTTTGCAGGGGATCACAGTGTTGTGTGAAATGTTCTTCAGGACGATGCAGCTTTGCTGTGCTGACTCATTAATTCATTCTATGAGTATTTACTAGGCACCAACTCCATGACAGGCACTTTGCTACTCACTGGGAATATAGCAATGAACAAAATGCAGATAGCCCCTGTCCTTGTTGAGCTTTTAGTTGAGCAAAAATACAGAGAGTTCTACAAGAAAGGCCCAAGGAGAGAGAGCATGGCAAGTCAGAGGCACTGAGAGAGGGAGAGTGGCAGGAGATGGAGCTGGTTACAAGAGTGGATTCTAGGTCAGATATGGCCTTGTGATACTCTAAGGGATTTGAACCCTATCCCAAAGGCAATTGTATTACTTAGAGCTGCTTTGGTTGCACATGAAAGAAGCTCAACTTGAATAACCTGAGGTCAAAAGGGAAATGTATTGGCCTTGAATCCAAGGAAGGGATGAACACCATACACTAATAGGAGGTCAGGGATAAGGTCAGGCTCAGGACACTAGGGCATTAGGAGCTTGGGCATGGCGTAGGACTTTTCCTGCCTCTGCCCACGTGCTGGCTTCTGCTGCTCTTCCTATATACTTTCTCCAAATAGAGAAAACGGACACCTCTAACATCTGAGTTTTACACCTTAAAACCTCCACTGGAGAGGAACTTACTGCCTTTTCTTCTGTCCTAGGTCCAATATCCTGGGAAGGAGGCTTATTGGCCCATTTTGGTCAAATATCTACCCAGAACCAATAAACCATGTCTACAAGGTGGAGCAAATGAAAGAACTCAGCAGCTCCCCCAGGAGCTGTGTAAGTTTCGTAGGTGAAGGTGAGAATGCTAGAGTAGATATTCTATGAATGTCCACTATAGCCGTGCCCACCAAGCAACCTCTGGACTTCTAAATCGAGTTCACAAAGTAAGCTAGTTCTGAAACATATTCAAATCCCAGTGTTAGGTCACTGGGAAATGCTATCATACTTGCAAATACTTAAGAATTCTGATTTTGCAAGAGTCAACCCCAAGAAATTGATGAATGGGGATCATATGTATCTCTCAGAGCAGTGCCTGGCACACAGTAGTACTTTCTAAATGTTAGAAATATGATTATTGTTATGATGATGGTGATGATGATGATCCATTTCTTTTGGGTACATGGGTATAATTCAGTTCTGGACGCACATAGCTAGCAGCCACGGTTATGGTGACCCCCTCAAGGCGGGGACAGCCCGAGTCACCAGCCACTCCCCTCCACATCTCCATCTCTTCTCTCTACAGCTTCACCTCCAGTGACAGCAGTTTTGACGGATGCCAAGGATTTCACGCCAGGAAGGAATGGCAAGTATCCACTCACTGCAAACAAATGGTACCTGCTCAATAAACTGTTGATAAAGATAAGTGATAAATTGAAACTGCCTGGGGAATTCTTCCCATTGTTTGTATGCCTCCATTTGAATAAGCTTGGGTTTTCCAACAAACTTTTTGTTACCAGCAGAATCTCAGTGGATCCTAATAACAACCCTGACAGGCAAAGCTCCAAACAAACATTAATTAAATCTCTTAACACCCTTGTAAATCAGTGAGCCATATGGCAATTATTAAAAAAAGGATAATTTTAAGGAGCAAGAAATTTTAAAATGATTGTTTACTTTGTCATAACAGAGAGATCATTTACATATATGCAAAAATGAATATTTAGAACCATAGGTAAGACAGAAATGCTTAGATAATATCTGGTATTTTGAAAAGGACAGTTGATCCAGGGAATACAGGGGATAGGATTTCTTGGAATGGCAGGTCAGATTTCTCTGAGGGCAACTGTGTATATTAATATGTATTCTTGGCTTTGTATCCCCAGTTCAGATGCCTTGTCCTAGGCCAGCACTGTCTAATAGAACTTGCTGTGGAGATGGAAATATCCTATATCTGCACTGTCCAACATGAAAGTTGCTAATGGCTCATAAGACTGAGGAAATACACTTTTGATTTATTTAATTTTAATTAACTTAAATAGCACATGTGGCTAGCAGTCACTATATTGGACAGTGCAATCTTAGACCATGGTTCATCCATTTGAAAACTTACATATTTATAATTTGGAAGGGGGTGTACAAGAGATGTTAATATAATTTTAACCAGATTGTGGTTTACAAGCAGGGTGCAGGAATTGTCATAATGGTAAGATTATTCAGTCATCATAGGCCTTTCATTCATTCATTCATTTGTTCAAAAAACATACATTGACCACCTACTGTGTGCCAGGCTCTGTACTGAGCAGGAGGGCTATAAATACAGACGGGCCATTGTCCTGGTTTAGAGATGAGTGGGAGGGAGGAGTGAATTAAAGGGCAGATATAGGAGTTTGTGACAAGTGTTGTCTATGTTAAGAGTAAGAGTATAAGCTGTGGGAATATAGAGGAGGGGCAATTAACTCATCCTGGGGGTGTATGGAGTAGGTGGGCAGGTCACAAACCCTTCCCAGAGAAGGTGACCCTGGAGTCAGTTCTTAGAGGTCCAGTAAGGATTCTCCCAGGTGATGAGGATGGGGGCTCTCCCAGGCAGAGGGACATGCACAGGCAAGGGCATGGCAGCTGCAGGGAGCATGTGCCTTTGGGGAGCTTCCTGATGCATGGGCTGTGTCATACGGTGCACGTGGGGACAGCAGCCAGCATGACCCCAGGGTGAGGGCAGGGCAGTAGAAAGGAGCTTGATAAACGAGTTTGGATTTTACCCTGAAGATAGTGAACAGTCATTCAGAGGGCTTTAATCGGGTGAATAACAGGATCGGATTTGTATTCTAGAAAGACCCTTTGGTGGCAGCGTGGAGAACAACTTAGGATGAGTGAGAATGGAGACAGGAAGCTCCTCAAAAAGACAACCTTTCCTTTGGTGAGAGACCCTGAAGTCCCATGTGAAGTAGTAAGGGTGCTACCAGCCAGAGGTAATTGGAACTGTTCCTTTCTAAGAAATGGAGAGATGTTTGGGGTGCAGGGTGCTGGAAGGCCTGAAGTTGGTCTTGGGCAGAGGGAAGAGCCTGGCATGGTACCAGCCAAGGGGACCCTCTTTTGGAGAGAGAGAGATGTGTTTACTTGAATGGCTTTTGCTTCTTTCCTTCCTGTCTTCCCTTTGTATGCATGAACTTCTTTCTGGACTGCCTGCACTGGGCAAATGGCCAGGCTTGAGGCTTGGTACAACAATTTAGACTTCCCAAAGGTATATGCAGAGTTTGCCTCCATGTGGTGTCCTAGCGCATTCATAAAACCCAGACAGGAGCAGACAGCCCTCTGACTCCAGACATGAACACATCATTAATACCCTAATTCCTGCTCAGTGGGGACAGGGGCCCAGACCCAGACCCAGCCTCCTAGGCTTGGCATGGAAGAGATTTATTCTTCCCTTCTGGTTTCGCCTTTCTCATCACGCATCTCTCATTCAGAATGCAAGATATCTGAATTTCCTGAACATGCACAGCTAATGGGCCAAGGAGATATGAACTACAGAGACTGGATGGTTGGGAGATGTCAGCCTGGTAGGTGAGCTGCTTGTACCCACCTGTCATTCTGAAAGTGGTGGCTCCCAGGGGCAGAACCAGGGCCAAGAAAAGACTGCAAGAAGAAAGACTGGCGGTCACTATTAAGACACACTTCTGTCTAGCAATAAGATGGTAGTCTTGAAAGGTAGTGAGTGCTCCATTGCCTGAGGCATGAAGGCAGGGGCTTGATCACAATTTGGTGAGGATGCTGCAGGGGGACAACAGCAAAAAATGAGACATTAGACTGGGGCAGCAACAAGTAGCATAGACTGGGGGTCAGGACATTTAAGTCTGAGGGCTCTGCCTCATTATCTAAGTAAACAGAGATTACAATATAACGCTCAGTGGGGGAAGCTCAGGGTGCATGAGGAATGCACCAGAGGGGACATCGGATCCAGACTTCAGGGCAGCTGGGAAGACCACCCAGAAGAAGTGAGGTGTCAGTAGAAACCTGAGGGAGGAGTAGGCTTTAGCCAGGGGAAGGAGGTTGGGATTGAAGGATGCAGACCACTCCTCTTTGTAATTCTTACAAAGAATTATCTGGCCCCAAATGTCAGCAGTGCTGAGGTTAAGAAACCTCGACCTAGAGTCAATTTGGAATTCCTGTCTTATGTGAGACAGCACGCCTCCTGAGACTTAAACTATTTGAGGTTTTCTGCTTCCTCATTTTATATGTGATCTAGATCTATCAAATGTTACAATTTTTGACAGGGCTAAAGACACTGTCATATAGAAAAGAGAGCAGGGCCCTTCTTTGTAACAGTAATAATGAATTCTTTGTAATACTGTAAGTCCCACGAAGGCTGGTGCGGGAAGGTGTGGGGTGCGTGAGTGATGCTGTGAACTGTATCCATGACCGATAAACCGCAGAAATCCATCTTCTCCCACCGCCTGGCACCTTCTGGGGATGGTGCTATCCAGTCAGGAGTCATGACAAAGCTTCTGCTCATTGTCCCCTGTGATAACTATGGCCCTGCCAGGCTGCTATGACTTTCTGAAAGGCACAGGCTGAGCCTGTGCTATTTGTCGGGGAAGAGGGTGGAGAATGAGAAACAGATTTCTAGGAGACATGAAAGACCTCTGGGCTTTTTGGGAAAAAAGTGGAATCTTGACCTGGTTTCCATGACCAAATGCCAAAAATGTGCTTACAAGTGTGGCCTCTCTCTGGGATAATATACCCATAAATGTTCAGTTAAATGTTAAGAGAACTGAAGCTCAGTTTTATGATTAACTAAGCCTAACTTTATTCGTCATAATCTTTTATATTGCAGATTTTATGGTCACATCTAACACCCTCTTCTCTGTGGTTGTTTGAAAATTTATCCTGCTTCAACATGCTGGAGAGATAACATGCTACAAAAAAAAAGAACATGGAATTTAGAGACATTATGAATCCCAATGCTGTCTTAATTAGCTGTGTGACCTAGGTCACTTATATAACATCTCTGAGTATGTTTCCTTATTTGAAATTTAGGGCAACATCCATCTCATAGAAAGTGCCGGGTGCAATGCCTAACACATAATAGTTGCTCAATAGATGTTTATTTCCCTTTTTAAGTTTTATTGTGTATATTTAAGGAGTACAACATGATGTTTTTGATATACATATAGTGAAATAGTTACTATAGTCAAGCAAAGTAACATATCCATCATCCTACACAGTTACACAAATTTTTTTGTGTGTTGTAAGAGTGCCTAAAAATCTATCTTTAAAATAAATCCCTGATACAATACAATATTAATAACTATAGTCCTCACATTGTACATCAGATTTCAAGACTTGTTCATCCTACATAACTGCTACTCTGTATCCTTTGACCTACACTCCCCATTTTCCTCCTGTTCCCTACTGTTATTTCCCTTTTCTTAATGCATAGCTCTTGCTTTTCTTTCTATGTCTTAGGTCTCCTGAAAATTTGCTACATTTGATGAATATAAATCATATTTAAAATGAGGAAGAAAAAACCCTGAGTCACATAGCTTATGGAATCAAGAGGTGAGCTATATCTCATAAGACAGGAATACTAAATTGACTCTAGATAGAATGTACTGTTTGTCAGTTTTCAGCACCTATTTCCTTTTAAAGATGTGTGTAAGAGTATAGGAAGGGCAGACGTGTTTAAACAATCACATTCCTGACTGACTCTGAAAATTTTCAGTTGTGCAAACTTTTACTTTTGAATCATTTCGATTAAAAACTTATGGTCTAGATTGATTTTTTTCCATACACAATTCAGAGCTACCTCAATAAAATGTCATGGGGTCTTTGAACTGGAAGAAATCTTAATGAACATCTGTCGTAAATATGTATGACAGTGCTCTGGGCCATAGGATATTGTCCCCATAAACTAGTCTGATAAGGACACTCAGCAAGGAGTAGAAGTGGTTTGCTTAAGATGTGGTTAGTGTCAGGGACATTGTATTGGTCTGCTCAAGGCTCCCTCTTCATATGGCACTTGGGGGTCACCTATGTCTCTCTTGACCTATTGGCAGTAGCAAGCTGTACAGAGAATTTGGCTTCTTTGACCCCTGACCTTCCTGCTGTGCCCTCCTGTTGTGGCCTGGATTCACCTGCCCCAGTGCAGCCAGAGTGATAGATTGAGTTGGCCATATCTACCAAGCAACCGTATCTATCTCTTTAATTACTAGAAAAGGTCTGGCAGAGACAAAAATCAAGGCAAAGGAATGTCCTGGTGGGGCTCACATGTGGCGGGGGCTGGGGTGGGCTGGCAACACAGCAAAAGAGGGACTGTTGTTTAGAACTATAGAGGGCCTCTTGAAACAG